GGAGGCGGGGCGGGGGGTGGGCAATGAACGCAGACAGGAGCAGCAAAGTGCGAAAAGGCAGGCGGCTCACTGGGGAGAGAATGTAGTTTGGTGTGGACACAAAAACAGCGCGTTTGTGACCACCCGTATAATGGAAATCAGGGACCAGGAACTCTGGGCTGTGGGGAGTGCCAACCAGCAATCAAACATTAGAAAAACAACAGCAACCCATCCGTAAGAAGTGAATGAAAAGGAAGTCTCGGTGGCTGTTAATGGGAATGACATGGTTTATTCTAAAAATTCAATATTGAAGTATAGTACAACTGAGTTTTAAAATTCACTAACTCATTTTCGGAAATAAAAATGGTTCATTTGTTTCTTTTTCAAATGTGCTCATTCTTTTTTCAAAGGTCCTGTTTGTTGAATTTGCTTTCTATTCCTTCTCTTATCCCTTTTAGTTAATTTTAAAACCTTGTTCCTGTCTCTTTCAGTTTCACTAGCATCTGCAGTTCTCTGGGGACCGACTCTCCGCCCGCTGCCTCTCCCGCATGGTGGCTCTTTCCACACGTGGCTGGTGGACAATGGGGGCAGACCCACAGCAGTCCGAGGGGGGAAGCTTATGAGCAACTGTATCGTCAGTCAAGGCATCTTCTTTGTATAAAGGCAACGGTCACTGTCATATAGAAATACACGTCAAAGTGCTCATATTTAAAAAGATAAAAATTACCTATCAGCTCATTATGAGATAAATGAACGGGAATCACTCAAGTGTCTATAAGAAAAGAGGAAGTACAGACACCGATGTTTATTTTTCCCTTTTAAGAATCCATTCTGATACAATCTAAAATGTTGTCAAGAAGCCATGCATATGGATACATATTGCAGTTCTTAATAAGAGGAGGAAAAGGAAATAGATGTCTTAAATTAGCAGAATATCCATATGACAGAATGTTTCCAAGGAGTTACTGATCACACTGAGAACTAGTTATATGTTAATTTTAAAATACGCGTTTAACAATATTTTTTAAAAAACCCAGAAGATCAGAAGTAAATACGCCAAAATGTTAACAGTGATTAGATGGTAAGATTACAGATATTTTGGGTGTGTATTACTTTACACATTGTAAATGTCAATGAACCATAGTAGTTTTATAATCAGAAAAGTATAAAATGTATCTAATATTTTTAAAAATGAAAACTTCTAAGGGAACAGTCAGGAACTTAACCATCTGGGGTAATATTAAATAACGAAGATAAAATACCACGATGCGGACGCTGACATTATGTCTACGGTCCATTCTCAGCACAGCAGCTGGAGCAGCCTTTAGAAGGCGGCGGAGGGCTGCGGTCATGTGTCTCCTGCACTTCAGACCCTGAAAGGCTCCCCGTTTCACTCAGAGTAAAAGCCGAAGTCCTTACAGCGGTGGACTGGGCCCAACACGATCTGACCCTCCACCACGTCTCCGACCTCCTCTCCCGACCTCAACTAAAGCCAGTCACTCTGGTCTCCTTGCCATTCCTCAAAATCACCAAGAACCCACCTGCCTCACGGCCTTTGCATTCACTATGGCCTCCATTTAAAATGCTCTCCACCCCTCCAGCCACGTAACGTGCTTCAGAGCTCTGCTCAAATGTCGCTTTATCCGGAAACCCTTCCCTGACCCCCCATAAAAAATAACAGCCACCTCCACTGTTCCTAGCGCCCTTTCCTGCCTTCACCCCGAGCACGTTATGACCATCCGCGATGCGGCAGCATTTACTTACCTGTGTCTGTGGTCGCCTTCCCACAACAAGAGCTGTTTTCCTGGCCCACAGAAGAGGCCCGGTAAACACGTGCCAAGTGCCTGAGTGAGTTCCCGCATCAGACCGCGAGGCCCTCAGGGGCTGAGGGGCAGGACCACACACCACTGCACCGCTGACGTGCACAGAGCAGGCAGCGACGCCAGCCTGGCAGCCCCAGGGACGCTTAACTGGCATTCATCTCACTCCAGAAAAAAAAATACTTAAAAGCCAGAGATGATGGAAGTGAAGCATCCAAAAGAAAGAAAGGGTGTTCGGGCAGAGCGGTATACGAGCTTCCATCAGAAAATTCAAGTTCTTCTATCAGGGTGTGGCTTCTCAAGCAGGATGGAACTCCTCATTTTTTAAGAGTTTATTCATTTATTTTTAGAAGGGAAGGGAGGGAGAAAGAGAGGGACAGAAACATCTGATGTGAAAGAGAAACATCAACCGGTTACCCCTTGCATGCCCCGAACTGGAGAGCCGGGGGCAACCCAGGCACGCACCCTGACCGGGAATCAAACCGGCACGATTTTTGGTTTGCAGGCCAGTGCTCAATCCACTGAGCCACACCAGCCAGGGTGGAACTCCTAATTTTTATCACAGATTCAGAACCAGCTATCTATGCAGCACTTAAAATGACATATTAAATGCTCTTTCGATTTAGCTATTTCTTTGTTGTGATTAGATGTCTTTTTAAGGGAAAAAAAAGGCAGCAGGAACCAATTACTCTGTCACTCTCCCACCCCAAAAGCAGGCAGGAAAAGGCAGCACCTGGTTACGGTACCCATGGGTACCCAGAAGCACAGACACGCACGTTTCACGGCCCATGCACCCCACAGCTGGCCTGGTACTGCAGAGACGGCATGCAGCGTTCCTCATCCCGCTAAGTTTACTGGGCTCTAGAAATGCAAGGACAGACTGATAGTGCAATGCACAGCCTCACCCTTTTTGCGTTAAGAAAGAGAAGAAAATTCACCCTCAGCTATTTCAGATTTTCTGGGCATCGCAGTGCCCTGGAGATGAGGACGGGCTGGTGGTGGGCCCTGCTGGTGGCATCTCAGGACCGTCAAGGACGCGAAGGTAGCTCGTGGGGGGGATGGACAGGGACGGCTGCCTCTGCAGTCCCCACGAAGTCACTACCCCACCGCATTTGTCTTTCCTTTCGTCTACCTTCTCTTCCATGACAGCTCCTTCATCTCTGTCCTCTAACAGTTCAGCTGTGACTTCCTTCTGCGAAGGTGTCTCCCACAAGATACTGTTTTAAGAGATGTCCTCTCTCATCAATATCGGCATCGTAAACGGGACCCCCCGGAAGACCAGAAGGCCCTCAAGTTCAAAGGGGGCATTTCTGGCTGGGGGGCCAGAGGGAGGCCTCTAATATCGACAGAGTAGCTACCCTCTGCCAGCATGGCCACTCGGCACATGTGCCAACCTCACTGAAGTCTCACAGCTTCTCTAAGAAACGGAGATGAGCTCCTCCATTTCGGGGTGAGCAATCAGCGACCTCCAGGCAAGATAAATGGGAGTTCACACGTTGAGTAGCTTCCCTGTTCTAACGAGACAGCAGTGACAGAAGAAAACGTCCTAAAAACAACAGGAAAGCTTCTTTGTGTTTAAAAACAGGATGTAGATATCAGTGGGTAAAAAACTCCAAATATTCACTATTTTGAGGAGCCGTGAAGGCGCAGCCCATGGAACTCTGGGTTCAGAAGCGGGTGGAGGCACCAGGGAGCTTGGTCTTCCCGGGCACAGGGACTGAAAGTGTCCCAGGGGAGGGTGGGGGACTAGAGTCAGAGTCACTGAAAATGGGGGCTGGTGAAGGGATTTCCCACCTGGGAAAAGAGGCTGATAAAAGCAGAGGGCCCCCCCAACCCCCAAACTAGAGCTTCCCCGAGAGTATGAACAGCGAGGGGAGCTGGAAGCAGCACACAGCCAGGGCCTGGCCAGGCTGCCCTCAGCTTCGTCAGCCGGCTCTGGGATAATCCCGTCATCACCACGGACACACAGCTCATCCCCAAGCAGAGACAGCGGGCTCTGCACAGGCGCCCAGGTGGGCCTGGGGGGGTGACGAGCAGGGGAGAACGGGGGAGAAATGGATTCCTGTTCAAGACGACCACATAAACCCAAATCCCAAAACACCTAAGGAAAGCTGATGCTGAGAAAGATACCAGCACCAACAGTTGGGAGGTAGTCCCAAAGATTTAGTGACCTGGAAGACCGTCCTGAACGATTTATCCAGAAAGCAGCCCAGAAGGATAAAGAAAGAAACAAGAGCCGCTGGGGCCACGGAGGATGGATTGAGAGGCTCTACAAGGTATCCCTCCAGATTCCCAGGCGTGGAGATGGGGAAGGGCAGGACAGCGATGTTCAAGGGCAGCCTGACTGAGGAGTTCCCATAACTGAAGGTGTTTTCTGGATCCTCAGATGATAAGTACATACCAAGTGCCACGCAAGATCAGTTAGGGAAAAAAAATCCACATCTGCAAAACCAGGGGCGTGTCCCTCTGCCAGGCTCACTCCGGTCCCACCATCCCTGTGTCTGACCCTCCCCGGAAGCTGCCTGCCTACGCTCTGCTCTGGTTTGGCCCGACTGCCGAGCCTGGTGCAGTGAGGAAAGCCCTGGGTTTGGAGTTAGGAAGCTCCCCCTTGGCTACTGCCTCACTGAGCCTCGATTTCTTCCCCTAAAACGGGGCCAGGACTAGAAACATAGAGCCTGAGCACCAGAAGGGACCTCAGGGGCAGCATCGCAGCAGACCGCGCCGCGTGTATTTCCAGCTCCCGCACGAACTAGCTTGGTGCCCACGAGTCTCCATTTCCCATCAGTAGGAAGGGATGATAATACCGCCCACCTAGGGGGCTGCGAGAGGATGAAGTGAATTCATACATGTGAATAACTGAGCACAGTGCCAGGCTCCTACTACACGTTCAACCTGGCGTGGCCATTACTCCTGCTACAATAATAGACCCCGCCCTGCCTCATGCCCTGCACTCAGTGAGAAGGGCTTCCCACGGAAACCACGGACCCCAGGTGTGACAGACCCAGGGCCCCTGCCACCCCGGCACTGTGAAAATGGGGAAGCCAGCAGCCTCCCCGCTGCTCTCCTCCCCCGTCACCCCCAGGAGGTCCTACTTGACCCCCAGAGGAGTCCGTCCCCATGACCAACCGTGAACTTCCCCAAACAGGGTGGGCTCAGCCCCGGCCCCGGGCCCCCCCCGCCCGGTTGCCCTGGGCACCCTACCTCTCTCTGCTCACTGCAGATCTTACACAGCCACAGGGGCCGCTTCTGGCCAGGGGAGGCCTCGATCCCACACTTGGTGCAGACTTTCTACAAGAGAGAGGACACAGGAAGGTAAACACTTCAGCTGCTTCCTCCTCAGCTGAGGGGCTGGGGAACTGTAGCCGAGGGACCCTTTCCATATACTGAGGGGATGGCTTTTGCTTCGGGCCAGGAGGGCAGACAACCCAAAGGGCCCAGGTCATCCAAAACCTGCGGGTGGCTTTAGGGCACAATGGATGCGCCCGTCCATGGATCGCCACGATACTGATTCGCCCCCACAACTACGTTCTGCTGGGAGGACATCAAAAATAAGCACGCTGAGATTCGCGGCTGCACCACGTTCAACAGCAGAGAGCTGGAAACCGCCCAAATGCCCAGTCCCAGCGGAAGCGCTTGGCACACACAGCAGAGTGCGACGTGCCCTGCACCCAGCAGACTGTGTCCGTTCCTGGGAATGTGGGCAGGAGATGCTGTTATTCCACAAAGAAAACATAACTTCGTGTATCAACACGCGAAAACCCCACCACGCATGTGCCTGCCCAGGTGAGACAATGACGTGGTGAGAGACACCCATGACAGCTTGAGCTCTCACTTTATGCCACGTCCCTTCATTGAATGGCCCTATTATGTAAGCATTAGGCCCATTTTACAGGTGGGGAGACAGGGGCTCCGGGTAGGTGGAGAATTTGCCAAGTTCACCCAGCAAGTCATGAGTTCGGGTGTGACCCTCGAGCCATTATATAATTTCCCCAGACCCGTAAGTAGCCAGACCCATTTTCTGTAGTGTTTTTCTTTCTGTGGTGTTACTTAAGCTCATAACTTCTAAATATGTATTTTGTTTCCCCAAAATGCATGGCAACACCCGGTACTGGGAAAGTCCAGATGAAACGCGCCAGGACGGAGGGGGCTTGGTGGGGCTGACTTGCTCCTGGCTGACCAGGTAGAGGTTGGCTCGGTGACAGCAGGTCCTCCTCTGAGAACTGCCGCACAGAGCTAATCAATCTTTCTACCATGGGAAGCTGTCCCGTCCCTGCAGGCGGGGGGTTCTCCCCTGCCCCCTACCAGCCCCCGCCACCGAGGGAAGGCTGGATCTATTGCTTGTCCTTTTCTGTAGGCTGCCAACTGAGCAAGAAGCACACCTCTCCGCGGAGAGGAAAATGTCACCAACTTGGCTTCCCAGAGCATGTCGTCACCGCCTGACTGGGCAGCTGAGCCCAGCTCTGCGGGAGGCGGGAGCCGGCTCGCGGCAGCGGCAGGTAGGCGAACTCGGATACATTCTTGGGGGATTTGCATTTGCTACCATCCAGTACTCAAGTATGAGAAATGCCACTTTTCTTCTGTTTCTCCAAATAAAATGTCATCTTCTCCAAGCTCTCAGCTCCCTGGGCTGGCAAGAAAATCCATCCCAGTCACAGTTGGGACCCTTCCCAGCTCTTGCAAGGGTTCTGGGCTTGGGTCATCCGAGGTGCAGCGCATGTTGGGAGGGTCCCCTGTCCGGGGTGCTCACTGCTAGGCTACTCTCCCTCAGAGCTCCCGTGGTCCATCGGAAAGGGAAGGGTCCCAGCCACCTCGGTGCCAGCCCGAGGCTCAGCCTCTCGGGGGTGGGGGTGCCCAGCAGCGTGGCCCCCAGAGCCCTGAGCTGCCATCCCTGACTTGGTCCAGAGATTCTCTCCTCCACTGGAGATGCCTCTCGATGCTGCTCACAATGCTCACCCCCAACCCTTCTACCTCTGGGGCAGGGCCCCCCCATTGGCCCATAAAATGGGCCTCAAGGAACACACACAGGCCTCCCCTCGCAGGGGTGAAGAGAGAGGAAGGAGGTGCTGAAACCAGCTGGCTGCTTTCCCTGCTCATTCCCCATCCCGTGTAAGTAAATGGTGCACGCGTGAAAAGGAGGGTGGCCCTTCCAGAGGTGAGATTTTCCTATGAAGTTTTCTCCGTGTTTCCAGGGTGTGATGGCAGGCAGCTCGCCCTCCAAGCACAGAGAGTGCTCTGCGCCTCTCGTGAGACGGTGGTGCTGGGGATAAGGAGAGAAGAGACCAGTTGCTATCCCTTTCCCGAGCAATTGTCTGTGCCAGGCAACAAAGGAGGTAGGAGGTGGGGGTTGGGATCTCCATATACTCAGATGAGGAAACTGAGGCTCAGAGGGGCTAAAGACTGCCTGAGGCCTCACAGCGAGTTAGGGACAGTCAGGATTTGGGAGCCTCCGTTCTTCCAGATCTCAGGAGAGCTGGAAAATGCCCTCCCCGGCCTTGTGTCAAGCTGGTGCCCACAGCTCTCCAAGGAGCCGTTTCATATGCCTGGGAGTGTGGCTGATGGTTCTCAAATGAATGGGCAGCCCTGGTTGGTGTGGCTCGGGGGATTGAGCGACTGCCTGCAAACCAAAAGGTGGCTGGTTCGATTCCCAGTCAGGGCACGTGCCTGGGTTGTGGGTCAGGTCCCCAGGCGGGGGTATGCGAGAGGCAACCACACATTGATTTCTCTCTTTTTCCCTCCCTTCCCCTCTCTCTAAAAATAAATAAAATCTTTTAAAAAAATTTTAAAAAATCAAATGAATGGGCAGAGAAGTGACCCCGAATGACCTGGGGTTTTCCTGGGGACAGGAGTGTAGATGCCTGTGCTCATCGGCTTGTGACGTTGGTCCGTTGGAGCACAGATCCGGGCTGGGTGTCTGGTCAACCCTCCTCTCTGTTACTCAGGAAGAAGGGTGGCCGCTCTTCACAGGAGAGAGGTTTCCGGCCACAGGCAGGGAGCTCAGGCCCATTGGGGCCCCCAGCAAGGCTCCTCGGGCTTCCCCGTAGCCTCCCTCCCACTCCGTGGCCTCCCTGCCCCACCCGTCAAGCAACGGTGGCGGTGGCAGGAGTGGGGCTTCTGCCCCTGCCTTAGTCACCTTGGGCTGTTATAACTAAAACCCCACAGACTGGGCGGCTTACCCAACGGATACCCACCTCCCAGTTCTGGAGGCTGGGACCCCCAGCAGGGTGACAGCTTGGTCGGGTTCTTGGTGAGGGCCCTTTACATATGCCGCCTTCTGGCTGTGTCCTCACAGGCTGAAGAGGGAGCTTTGGTCTCTTCCTCCTCTTACCTGGCACCAACCCCCTGAGGGGGCCCCACCCTCACGGCCTCATCTACGCCCAGTCACCCCCCGAAGGCCTCGCCTCCACCCCACTGGGGGTAGGGCTGCAGCACAGGGATCTGGGGAGGACATAGCCCCTGACCAGCAGTGCGACCCTTCCTTTGCTTCTGCACATTGGGAACCCTAGGTGGGGCTCATCCTCATCTCTCTCAGTCCTGGATCACGCAGGGCTGTCCTCCTGGGGTCTTGACCTCGGGCTACCCTGCACTGCCACTGGTTCTAATTTCCAGAAACACCGCTCTGAGCCTGTTCGCAGCTTGGTGCTCCGGGCACGGGCTCTGGAGTGAGGCAGGCCTGGGCGGGCCCTTGGGCAAGCTCTCCAAGCCTCCCTAAACCTTAGATGTTCTCATCTGTAAAATGGGGGATAGTATTTACCCCCGAGGGTTGTCTTGAGGGCTAACTGAGATACTTACGAGGAGCGACTGGCACATCGTAAGCATTCAGTAGGGCCGGTCATTATTATCGGCGACATTCCCTTGCATGACCGCCCCCCAACCCCTGACCTGCACCATCGGATGCGGTAGCCACATCAGATGGCTACCACCTGTGTCTATTTAAATTTAAATTAATAAATTAATTAATTATGAAAATTAAATACAATGAAAAACCCAGTTCCTCAGACACACTAACCATATTTCAGGTGCCTGACAGTCACATGTGGTTGGTGGCGAGCACGTCGGATGGCACGCGGACAGAACATTGTCGTCGTTGCAGGAAGTCCTGCTGGGCAGCACTGGGCCAGAGGACCTGGACCTCGGCCTTGGCGCTTGGCGCCCCAGTCCCCCTCCACGGCCTCTTCCCGCTGCTCCCCTGCAAGGCCTCCCCTCCAGTCCGACCAATGTGCCGGGTGTCTTCTGTCTCCACCCACCTCAGCCCATCCCTCCCCATCTGATCCCTACCCACTTTCCCATGTACTGATCCTGTCCCTGCCGCCTGCTGAGTGCCCACGTGGAGCTCTGGGCTGGGATGGCGCGGCACAGGCCCCACGTGCCCCCAGTGAAGCACCCAACGCGTGCGGACCTAGGCCAGCCCGCCACGGCTCGGGGGCTGCCCGGCGGCACTGCGGGAGCGAGGTGTGAGCAGGGTTTGAGGACGGCTGTGCACATGACCTCAATAAATACAGTCTGGTTGACTGAACGTCTATGTTGTTGGGGGCAGGGAAAGGAACTAGGAGAGCGTGCCCAAGCTGTGTCCTGTCTTCTACCCACAGACCACGGCGCACAGAACCATGGGACCTGGGGACAGGAGTTGTGTGGGCCAGTTGCCCCGCAGAGGCTGGGTGGGTCAAAGGCTGATGGTCAGCTCCCATCCTAGGGTGGGGGTATGTGTGTGGGTGGCATGTCCCAAGTGTTCCTGCCTCCCTTTGCCCTGCGTGGTGCTGTGGGGGGCCAGGGGCGGCATGACAAGGCGCACACCCTCCTCATCCATGCGCAGCCCTGCTTTCAGGCTACTAGTCTTCAGCGGTGGGACCCACGGGCAGATCCCGCCGTCTCTCAGCTGTGCAGCGTCTCCGGCTGGGGAGTGCAGGCCAGCAAAATGGTAACATGCTCCAGTTCAAGTAACACATAATTGCTGCTCTACTAAATCTTGACTCAGTAAGAGACTAATAAGCCTTTTCCCCTATGGGCTTGGTCTTTATTCCCAGGTTCCAAAAAAAGAAAATTAAGCAGGTAGTATTTTAAAAATCCAGTGAGAGAGGGTGTGAGCCAGCTGCGACACCGAGGGGACGCTGCACAGCCGTGTCCATGGCAGCCCCGGGGCCTGGGGGTGGCCACTTGCTTCCCTGGCTGAGATGGGCTTCTGTTGAGCAGGACTGCCCCGGGCCTGTGAGCGCTGGCATGGCTGCCTCGTGCTGCCCACGGCCTGGAGCTGTGTCTGAGTGTTAAACACGCCGAGTCTGGCTTCTGGACCG